AAAAAAAAAAAAAAAAAAAAAAAAGAACAAGCAGTTGTATCATCTAGCTAGGGAAAGAGCATATCATTTGTAATAAAATAATCATATTTCTGTAACCCTTATATGCACAGTCATGACTTGTGGGGTGTAAGCAAAATAAAATCTTAGTTTTTTTCTCTCAATATCCCTTTAAAACTTTTTTTTCATCAGGGGAAGTTTTTTCTTTGTCCTACCACAGAAAGAAATTATCGCCAAGCTATAGATTTTTCTTATCACTTTTTGTTAATAGAAAGTTATAGGGTCACTCTAAGTTGCAAATCACAGTTTTAATTGTACAATAAAAACTACCCGGTCAATGTATAAATCTTCCTTTCAGTCTTTGTTCAGCTGGGATGAGCTGCATGGAGAGCCTGTGGTTCAGGGGAAGGGATGGGCTTCTCAGTCCAGCTGAGTCCCAGCTGAGTCCCAGTCCCAGCTGAGTCCAGGCTGGGAGCAGAGGCCGGGTACAAAGATTCTTCCTTGGCTGGTCCATTGTCAGGGGGCTTTGAGTCCTCTGGTCTTGGCAGGAGTTTGATGCTGACACTCTTTCTCGGGGGGATCCTGCACTGGCCCCCGTCTTTGCCCCTCCTAGCACTCTCTCCCCCCAGCTCTTTCTCCCCAGCAGCCTCAGCTTTTCCGGGGGGTTACTCTATACCAACTCTTTCTGTTGGAGTTCCATTACTCTCCCAGGTCCTGCTGGACAGGACTCAAAACAGCTCGAGGCCTACTCCGTCTCACGCTTAGAGAACATCAGGTCCACAAAAAATACTCAGGTGGCCTTTGCACAAACCCTGACGCTCAGTCTGATCCCACCCAGCTCTCTCTTGGCTGTCGCGGCCCACTTTAGCTTTCTCAGGCATGAGTCAGACACTGGCCCCTGTGGGTGAAATAGGCAAAGGAATTAAGCAAAAAATAAAACAAAACCCACAGATACAGACAGTATGGTGATTACCAGAGGTAAAGGGGTAGGGGCAGGTAGAAGGGGGTAGAGTGGAGATAAATAGCGACGGAAGGAGACTCGACTTTGGGTGGTGAACACACAATAGAATATACAGATGATGTATTACAGAATTGTACACTTGAAACCTATAGAATTTTATCAACCAATACATTAAATTTAAAAAGTTCTTAAAAATAAAAATTAGTAGCTGTTTTTTGTTGGTTTTTTTGTTTTTTTTTTTAATCAAGTTCTTCAAGTGGTTTCATTGAAGTTCCCTTTCTCGAATGGGGTAAAGAGCGAAGCAACTGAAACACCTCTCATTTTTTCCAAAGAAAAATTTTTATGACTCCTTTCTCCAAAGAAGAACTTTATAAAGGCTGCCTCCTTCCCCCTGTTGTGCCTACAGCATGGGTGAGAGTCAACTGTCTGAGCATGTATCGGTTTGGTGGCTTCTGCCTGTCGCTTCCTACAGCCTAGGTCACACCATCATTTTAACATCTTGATATATAGAAACTGGTACAGCTAGGATACAGGCTTGCTTGCCTGTGACTGAGATGTGAAACGGGTTAACAAGCTGAAGTGCTATATCTCCTTTTTTGAACCCCAAGCTGGTGTGGTGTCTCTGCTCATCAGGGCTTCAGGCTTGAACCAGAAATTACACACATAGCTTTCATTTACATGGCAACACGGGCTGCCACAGGGACTGGGAAATGTCTTTATTCTTGGCAGCCATGTGGGTCTGCTGAATTTTCTCTTACTATGGGAGGAGGGGAGAATGTGTTTTATGATTCAACTAGCACAGCCTCTGCTATCCCATTCAACTAATATTGAGTATTAGTAATTCATTACAGGGCATGAGCTAAACTTACTTTAGAAGATTGGAAAATACTCTTATTCATATTTCTTCTTAATTTCACTAATGCTACTAAATTTTTTCTTTTTATTTTAAAGGGAATCCAAGGTCCTATTGGTCCCCCTGGTCCTCAAGGACCCCCAGGACAGGGCTCACCTGGTTCCAAGGTAACTTTCTCAATGAAAGAGAAGTTTCATATTTTGATAGTCTGTCTAATTGCTGTTTTCTGGGCAGTGGCCAGTCATTTGGAAAGTAGCAGATGAAATGAACTTAAAAACCAGAGCTCTCTACTTAATGTAAAATTTATTGATATTCCTAATGGTTTAGAAAATGTAATATATATTCTTTATGCTCTTAGAAGCTTTTTTTTTACACAATCTGCCTTTCTTGTTTTCTTTATTAGTTTTACTTATGAGGCCCTGTTCTAGCAACTCAAACAGTAGTATCAGTAGAGTCTACCTGTGGTTACATGCCTCTCTACACTGACACATTCTCACCAGCATTCCCACAGCAGGTCCAACTACTAAAACATTTAGCGAAAGATATGGAGTCAAAAATGACCCAACAAATAAACATTTTCTATAAATGTAGGAATCAAATGATCTAAATTAGAACTATTATTTATCCTTTGGGAGAGGTACGGCACCTATTCTCTAATTAGCTGTCCTTAATGTGGCTTCAAAGGATCATTAATCATAATAGTTCTCTGAGAGCTCTCACCTTCGGCACATTCCCTAGTGATGCCCATGTGAGAAGCAGCTCAGTAGAATACTGTTACTGTCCTTCACGTGTCTGATTAGGGGCACATCATCAAAAGCTCAGGTTGTTCTCTCCAGTTATAATACTGTTCTTGACCCTCAGTTATCTTGGCTTCTCGTGTCAGTTTCAGTTGTGCTAGAACATAAATACCTATCATTTCCAGGGCCCCTTTATCGGGAGGGCTCCTTAAAATCAATTTTGAATATGTTACATAGCCTATATTTTAAGCCAGACCATTTATACATTTACACATTTCAAATGTGGTGGGGGTATATATATATATATGAATTGAGCACATGAAGCTCAGTTTCCTCTTATTTTGTTGATATAAGAAAGACAGCTCTTGGGAGATCAAAGAAGAAATATATTATTGTTGTTTTGCTGCCCTGGTCAAATACTCTCCAAATACTCTTTCCTTATTAGGGAGAAGTAGGCCAGATAGGACCTACAGGCCCTAGAGGACCGGTGGGGATTGGAGTACAAGGTCCAAAGGTGAGTTGACTATGCTGCTCAGAATCATTTAGATCATTTATGTGATATTATGTAAAGTTTCACTTATATCCAAATGAAATACAGATCATGCATGTGTCATTTAATTGTTACTTTAAGGTATAGAGTATTTATTCAGAAAAGGGTCCGATGCTCAGTATAACTCTTAATGTTTAAGAGAAACCAAAATCTATTTACTTTAATGACTGCTATTTGTTTCTTTTATTTATTAGCATCAGAGGCCCTCTTTTGGCACAGAGGGATTCTTTAAGAACATTATCACCTGCCATATTATAAAACAAAGCATGGACTAACTAGGAGTTCAGTAAAGGTTACTTCCCTTTCTTTGCTTTATGGCTTCCTAAGCAATCTAGTCCCTAAATCTAAAGTAAGTCCAGCCCACTTCTACCACCCAGTAATTTTATATCTCAACATGCTGTTTGTTTCCCTTGCTTTTACCTCTTATCTCAACTTGCATTTAACTTGCGTGTTTTTTGAATTACAGCTGACCCTTGAACAATGTAGAGCTTAGGGGTGCAGACTTCCTCCAATAACTCTTGACATCCCCAAAGCAGCTGTCTTTTGGTGTCTGTGGGGGGTGCAGAGGATTGGTTGTAGGACCCCCATAGACACCAAATTTCTGGAGGCTGAAGTCCCTTACATAAAATGGTGCAGAAGAATGCCTATAGTTGGCTGTCGCATCAGAGGATTCCCAACCACAGAATAGTTTCAATCCAAGTTTGGTTGAATCCCTGGATGCAAAACCCAATGATGCAGAAGGCCAACTGTATATTTATTGAAAAAAATCTGCGTGTAAGTGGACCCACACAGCTCAAACCTATGTTGTTCAAGGATCAATTGCACTTTTCGTCTCACTATACCCTCTAGAGCTGTGCTGTCCAATATTGCAGCTACTAGCCACATGTGGTTACTGAATGCTTAAAGTGTGGTTGGTATGAACTGAGATGTGCTACAAATGTAGTAATATACACACTGGTTTACAATGCCTGTTACAAAAAAAAAAAGTAAAATATACCATTAATACATTTGTACATTGGTTAAATATTGAAGTGATAATATTTCAGGTATAATAGAATAAATAAGATCTATTATTAGAATATTTATACCTGTTTCTTTTAACTTTATAAATGTGGCTGCTAGAGAAATTATAATTACATACATGGCTCGCTTTATATTTCTATTGGACAATGCTGCTCCATTGGGGCAGGGACCTTGTTTCCTTTTTTTTCTTCATTATTATTGAATCCCCAGTTTGGGGGATATGATAGGTACAGCATTCAATAAATGCTGTTGAATAAATTAATGAACCCTTGTTTCCCCTTTCATAATTTCTATAACTCATATAGAATCTTATAGTATCTGATGAGCCACACTAAGCATTAAATTTCACCATTATTCTGCTGTTATTGTCATCACTCCTAAACGTATTTAGTTATAAGAAGAAACATAAGATGCAGGCCTAAGAAGAACATACATGTTCCATATATATAAACATATAATGACAGGATAAAGAGTGTACTAACGTATTAATAATTGCTGCCATTTGTTGAATGGTTTTGATGTGCCCCGCAATGTACTAAGTGCTAAATATGACATATGTCTATACATATACCTAGTGAATATATTTATGCATATGCATATATGATGTCATATATATAAGCCAACTTCAGAGAGGCAATATAGAGCAGAAAAGCTCAGCAGTTAGACTAAGTTCAAACCCCAGTTTTTCTACTGACTAGATGTGCGATCTTAAGCATCTCTTACTTTAAGACATAAAATATTTCAAACATACCACTATACAGAATAATACAATGGACACCCATGTATTCCACGACCCATATGGAATGCAGTCATAATAGTTTCTTGATGTTTTTGTCTACTAATTCTATCACCTGTGTCATTTTTCTGGATCAGTTTCAATTGATCGATTTTTCCCAGCACAAAGGGCTGTATTTTGCAGCTTTTTTGAATGCCTGATAGTTTCTGATCGGATGGCAACCTTTGTTAATTTTGCCTCTTTTTTGGGTACTGGATATTTTTGTATTCCTATAAGTATTTTTTAGCTTTGTTCCTGGATGCTTTTTAAGTTACTTGAAAACAGTTTGAGCCTCTGGGTCTTGCTTTTAAGTTTTACTAGGTAGGAAAAGAATAGCATTTAGTCTAGGGTTAAGTTGGGGGGGAAATTAACTGAGGCAAGACCCTTTTTAGGTCTCCGAGCTTTGCCCTCAGAATTGTGAGGTTCCCTGTCTTGCCATTAGGAGCAGGCACTATTTCTGGCCTGCTGTTGTTTCTCTCGAATCCTATAAGTTGGTTGTTTTTCTGGCCTTGGGTCACTTCTTGACACTGTGCTGAACAGTATTCACCTGACTCCAGGGGGAAGCTCATCAGATCATAGTTCCCTCCATGAAACTCCTTCCTTTTTGGTAATCTGTTCTGTGAATTTTTTACACCTGGCTGCCTTTGTCTCCTTAAACTTCTGAATTTTGCCTGGGTACTTGCCCCCTGCACCATGGTCTGGAAACTACCCAGGCAGAAAACTGGGGAAACCGTAGCAGTCACCTGATTTGTTTTCCCTCTCTTAGGGATTATTTTCCTTCATTATTTGGTCTATAGAGAGACATTGTTTCATATATTTTGTCTGGATTTTTAGTTGTATCAGGCAGGAAATTAAATCCAGTCCCTATTCCTCCATTCTGACTGGGCCCTTAAGTTGTATCTATTTTCAACCAATCTATAGACTGGTCTATAATTTAGTTTTCTTGTCTTGTTATTGTGTGATTTTTTAAAATGGTTTTATTGATTTTTAGAGAGAGCAAGGGAGAGGGATAGAGAAACATTGATGAGAGAAAACATCATCTATCAGCCCCCTCCCGCATGCCCCCTCCTGGGCCCCCAGCCCGGGCATGTGCCCTGACCTGGAATTGAGCCTTCTTGGTTCCTGGGTCAACGCTCAACCACTGAGCCACACCGGTCGGGCTTTTGTGTGATTTTTTAAATCAAGATATTAACTTCATAAAATAAATTGTGTAGACTTCCTCCTTTTTATTTTTCAGAGCTGGTGTAAGATAGGAAATATGTGTTCTTCAAAGGTTTAACAATTTGATAGGGCTTGACTGTAAAACTAAGCTTGTGGTGCTGAAAGGAAAGGACGTGAAAGCCCTTTAATTACTGATTCATTTACTTAATGCTATTGGTTTAGATAGCTTGTCCATTTGTTCTTACGTTATTTATGTAATTTATGTTTTTGTTGAAGATTATCTGTTTATTAATGTTTTCCAACATATTTTTTGAAATTGCCACAGAAATTTTCTATGATTTTAAAAAATATTTATGATGTATATAATTATATCTCTTTAATTCTTAATACTGTTTATTTGTGCCTTTTTAAAAATAATATTAATCATTTCTGCTAGAGATTTATTTATTTTATTAGTTTTTTTAAAGTATTATCTTTTAATTTTGTTACTCTTCTTACTTTTTGTTTTCAAGTTTATTATTTTCTGTTCTCATCTTTATTTTCTTCTTATTTTTAGGTTCACCATTCTTTTTTTCACTAGCTTTTTTAGTTTGGTTTAGTTGAAATGACTTTCAATTATCTTTAATATATTTTGCCTGTAATAAATATAGTAAGGACACTTTTATACTGTTTGAAGGTAGCAAGTGTTTTCTCTGAATATATTAAATAACTTCTTCTTAATCATTAAATTTACTTGAAAGTAAGTAGGATTGTTGAGCATTACAGCTGGAAGTGATAGTAGGTCCCCAACACTTTTATATTAGTTTCTTCGAATTGCTGTAACAGAGTACCACAAAATGTGTGGCTTAATACAGCAGGGATTTATTGTCTTACAGTTCTGGAGGCTAGAAATAGAAAATCAATGTGTGTGCAGGGCCGTGCTTCCCCAAAAACCTGTAGGGAAGAGTCCTTCTTTGCCTCTTAGCTTGTGGTGGCTAATCCTTGGCATTTCTTGGCTTGCAGCTACATCACTCTAATCTTTGCCTCTGTTGTCACATGGTGCTCTCCCTATGTGCCTGTGTACACATGGTGTTTTCCTCTTTTTATAAGCACACCAGTCATGTTGGATTAGGGCCCACTCTAATGACCTCATTTTAACTTGATTACATCTGCATAGATCCTATTTCTGAAAAAGGTCACATTCACAGGTACTAACATATTTTTGGGGGG